AATGATAATAATAATAATAATAATAATAATAATAATAATAGTAATAATAGTAATAAAAATAATAGTAATAATAATACTAATAATAATTGTTACGGTAACGATGACAACAACTTTAATCGTGTCCATTGCCTGTCGCGAGAGGAAAACGATGCATAAAATAACCGGGTACCTACAAAGTGACGTGCCTTTGAGACTCTTCGAAGCAAACGATCGGTTCGTCGTCGTTGACTTTTTCCACTTCCGTCCGTGGAACCCGGTTCCGCGGACACGGCCGTATTGCGCGTCTCCAGGGAAACTCGAGTCCTTCGACGATCGCGATCGCTCGATCCTTTCGTCGCCGCATCCGCGACACCTGGCAACCAATTTTCCGAGTTTCCGTTCGCGCGGATCCTCCATCTACGTCGTATACAGCCAACGCGACCGATTACCGAGGAATAGAGACGCAGCGAAAGAGAGAAAAGGGTGAGAGCGAGCAAGTATACATACGTATGCGTGTATGAGAAAGGTGCGCGAGTACGAACGAGAGGGTGAACGAGAGGGATCGCGAGGATAAGTAATAAAAGAGAAAATGGTGGAAAAAAAAGAATAAGAAATAATGATTTTCTTAGCGCGATAAGGAGGAGGTGTAGGGAGAAAAACGAGGAATATTTTGGAGCGATTCGACGTCGACGACGAGTCTAGGGAAATGGAGGAAATAGAAGAAGAAGAAAATAACAATGTCCATGTTGCTAAATATTAGCGGTGCGGTAGTTTGCGTGTAGCGACGTGTTAGTTTAAATTAGTCCTTAGTGCGAGCGAAGCGGAATTTTCCGAAAAGTCCGAGGTCCGACGCTCGGACGGTGAGAGAGAGAGAGAGAGAGGGAGAGAGAGAGAGCGTATATAAAGGAAACGGAGAATATCGCGCGTACGTGCGATACACGTGGATCGGCAGAGGCACGTGTGCGCCTAAACGCGCCGAAAGGAAGAGGAAGAGGAAAAGGAAGAGGAAGACTGCGTGCGAGAGGGCGGGAGAAACGCGAGTGAGATACCTGGACACACACGTACACGCACACACGCGCATACACACACACACACATGCGAGAAAACACACGAAGCATAGTAGACACGTAGATTAAAATTAGGAGATAGAATCTTAGGTGAAGTTATCGAGCCCGTTCCTTCGTATTAGATATGGTAGCATTAGAGATGCCCGGCACGCCTCGAAACGAGGACACGTGGACTGTATCTAGCGACTAGGTAGAAGAGAGTTACGCTCCAACAGCGATTCTTTTGTTTCTCGTCGAGCATGTAGCCTGAAGCACGAAGAAGTAGGAGAAGAAGAAGAAGGATAAGAAGAAGAAAAAGAAGAAGAAGAAGAAGAAGAAGAAGGAAGCGAGAAGAGAAGAAAGACAACGTCCGCTTGTCGCTTCCTCGAGCCGTTCGTTCTCCTCGACCCATTCCATGCTGCGTTTCGTTCGCCAATTTTTCCGATCGTTCTTTCTCCTGCGCGAGAGTACAACGCCGACGAATCACGAAGAGGGATCGAAGACGAGAGGAAGATTCGGATCGCGTAGAGAAGAGCGGGAAACGGAAGGAAGACGGAAAGAAGGAGAAAGTGAACGGAATGAATGTAACGGATGGAAATAAGCGAGGAAAGAGAGAGAGCGCGCGAGAGAGAGAGAGAGAGAGAGAGAGAGAGAGAGTGTGTGTGTGTGAGTACCGTGCCCATTGTAGTCGAGCGTAAATTATTATAAATATCGAAGCGTTAACGTTATCGAGTATATACCTCTTCTGTACATACAGTTGAACGACAACAAGAATAGCGAGTAAGACGATTTTCGTCGTAAGCACGATGGGAAACGGCGAGCACGAGACGGATGCTGCGCGTATTGTCCTTTTGCGACGGTCGACGAGCGATCGATTCGATCGCGAATCGGGTATGATCGTAATGTAATTATATTATTCGCGGACGGTTCGATGCAACGGTTCGATGATCGACGGCACCGTATATAAATATTATAAATACATTTCGTAGAACGAGGATCGCGATAGCAGAGGCGAGCGGTGATTTTCTATTATTGCTATGATTATATTACCATTATCGTCATTACGGTTTCTTACGATGATCGCTGCGACCACGATGATTATTACGGTTACGATTATTACCTAGGCGGATGAGAGAGCGCGTGAAAGAGAGGGAGAGAGAGGGAGAGAGCGAGAGAGCGTGGCAGGGTAACCGAGCATCGCGGTGAGAAAGAGGAGGAGAGGAGAGGAGAGGAGAGGATGTGTCGTATCCGTCGAGCAGCGAGCGGTAGCAGCGTTTAAGTCCGGTCGTGCAGAGGCGCGGCGCGGATCTTAGACTGTGACGCGAGCAACGCGAGGGGTTCCTAAGAAAATGAAACGATCGTCCGGACGGGGTCCGCGAACGTGGACGGGACCGGCGTGTACGGGAGACGATTCGCGAGATCGAACGCGAGACACGCGGGTATCGAGTGGAGAAGCGAAGGAAAGAGAAGCACGAGGAATCGCGCTCGTACGCGCGTCCCGACGACGAATCGCGTCGGCTTTACAATCTTCTTGCACACCGATCGACCGAGAGGCCACTCTTTTCTGCCGATATTTCGTTTTTCACGCACCGACCATGGATCCCCTTTTTTTATTCCCGTAAACACCGAACGACCAAGTGGCAACGCGATCGAGCCCGAGCGTTCATTCGCCGTTTAATTTCCACTTTATTTAACGTTTATTACCGTCGAGAGAAAGGGACGTCGACCGGGACTTCTCCAAAGTTCGAAGCCACGTTTCTAGGCGTAAACGATCATCCTGTCGTTATTTATTGACAGAACCGAACCAATGCTCAAGCGATGCTGTTGGTTTAAAGTGAATAAAAGAAAAGCTGAGAAACCAAGATTTTCTTTACCCGTCTGTACCTATAGGCCTGTAACACGTCGTGTATGTGCAGTGGAGTATAAAGGGAATAATAAAGAGTACACACTTTTTATATGCACGACTTTTAATCGTCTCACCGTTTCTTTTTCCTCTTCTCTTGCCGCGCATCGTGCCGCGTTTGCCCCTGCCCCAGCTTCCGGAGAAAGGTAAGCGAGCTGTCGCGACAAACGAAACGCTTCGATCGCTCGATCGCTCGATCGCGCCAACTTCGCGCATTCGCGCATAGTTGACTTTTTCGTTCGGGCAAAAAGATTTGGAAAATGGTAGAACCAGGGGATCGTTAGTCCTGTCACGAAGCGATCGAAGCGATCGAAGCGATGGGCGACGTTCTACGAAACTGGATACAGGCCAGGCTAGGCATCCTGATAGACCTGAGGCCAGAGGTGTTCGGTCACTACACGAGCGACGGCTCGCTGCTGGCCCAGATCCTACACAGCTACGACATAATAAGTCGCGATCAATTGGAAACGATCGCAGTGACGCAAGATCCAGCCCTGTGCCGCGTGAACCTCAAGCATCTGAGGTTTTGGTTGCGCTTCGTCGGCATCGACTGCGACGATGAGAGCATCGAGGAGATTTCCTGCGGCAAAGGTAGCACGTCCTTGCGACTCTTCTACAAGCTCTACCTGTGCCTCGAGACCAAGGACAGGTTGCACTTTATCACGCTGCAAAAGGAGAGGGAAAAGTTCGTGCCCGCGTCGAAGAAATTCGACGTGACCAGGGTCTGCGAGGATCCACTGCCGTATCAGCCGCCGGAACATCCGCTGTCGAAGAAGCTGGCAAAGGGGCAGGAGGTTCTAGACTGGCACGGAAGCAAATTTCCATTGTTGCTTCGAAGGGTTCGACGGGAACGAGAGAAGCTCGAGGTTTCGAAACCCATCACCGTGGTTCAACCCGTCGTGCGCTGCGTCCCCGAGGTATACCTACCTCCAGTTCGCCACTCGACTCGCGTCCAGTTACGATTCTTCTTCTTAGGCGCCGAGAACCTCGCTGGACTCTAGGAAGGAAGAGAGCGCCGAGTTGGACCGGTTTGCCCTGAAACATCGCGTCCGACCAAAGTCGACGAAACCGCAGGACGCAAAGGACAAGAAACGCAAGAGCGGCGACGGCGACGACGACGACGACGAGGAGGAGGAGGAAGAGGACGCGGAGACGACGGAACGGAAAGAAAAGGGGGAAACGGAGAGGTCGACGAGCGATCGTGAGACGGGCAGAACGTACGTGGAGCGGTTAAAGGATCGCACGAAACGCGAAAAGACCGCGGCCGCTGTGAAGACCAAGATGCAGAACGCGTTGCTGTCGAAACTGTGGGAAAAGATGGCGGAGAAGCAGGAGAGAAGGTTCGACGAGGCGATCGCGAAACGAGTGTTGGATCAGTCGATGTACGAGAAGAGGATCGTGACGAAGCTGTGCGAGGTGCGCGAACAAAAGAACATCATGGCGGAGAACCAAAAGGTGGTGGAGGATATAACGGCGGAGGCGACCGAGGTGGAGCATCGCGCGAGTTACGAGCGAGCGCAGGATCTGGTCACGAAGCGAGAAAAGGACATAGAGATCGAGTGTGAAAGGATGTGCGAACTGCGGCACAGGCTTCTCACGGAGAAGATACGAAAGATAAGGGAGAAGCATTGGACATTTTGTCGAGACGTGGTCGAGGACTTGGCGAGCATAGCGTTGAACGTGGGCGATCATCGACGAGTGAACAACGGTCGCGTACCGGTCACTCTTCTCAGCGAATGGAAGACCCTGTTCCTCAAGTCGCAACCGATCTTCGACGAGGAAATACCCTACGAGGCCAAGCATCGCCACTCGGGCAGCGAAGAGCTGGAACTGTTGCTCAAGTCGGACGTCTGGGCAAAGTTCGACAAGGTCGACATCGCTCTTCTCGACGATTACCTGGAAATCGATCCACCGTGGAACGCGTCGTTGCCGATGCCCGGCGAAGAGGCGCTCGAGCTGACCAGACTTGGTCGCATGGTACTCGGTTACGCGGTGCATCGCCTCCTCGACGGCCTTTACTCGCACTCGCTCGGCCGTTCACAGGCTTTGCTGTCGAAATTCAAGCGCGTCGCGATCCTTCTCGGAATCGGCAATCCCACGGTCTACGAGTCGATGACAACGCTGCTGGATCGCGTCGGTTTTCGCGTGGTGCGAATGGAGGACGCGATCAATTACTGCCTGGAACGGTACAAGCGAGAAATGTCCGATTTCGAGTACATCGACACGAGCATCGTCGCGGCGACCGCCGACGTGGTTCGAAAGCTTCGCAGCGACCCGAAGGAAACGTCGTGCAGGAGGTTGAGCAGAGTCGATAAGCGTTCCAGATGGGCCGACGAGACGTCCTCGTCCTTGCCGGACACGGCCACGAGGAAAAGCGGCAAAATCAAGGAGAGGAGATCGATCGCGTCTACCAAGACACCGGAGGTGAAGGAGGAGCAGGATGGAAAGGAGATGAAGGAGATGAAGGAGGAATCGAAGAAGCGGGAAAAGGAGACGCAGACCTCCAGAAACGTACCGTACGACGACATGGATCCCGTGTTGACCGACTCCGCGTACATCGGTAGGTTTTCCTCGTTTCCGAATTTACCACGATCCAGGGATCCAGCTATCGGCGAGTTTTCGCGCGCAGGTAAGTGGACGTACGAATTCCTCGCGCTGGGCGAGCCGATCACCGACAACCTCGCGACCAAGATCCTGATCGAGTACCTCAAGAGTTTGGAACACGCCAAGGGCTGGGTTCTGATCGATTATCCGAGCACGTACGAGCAAATGTCGCGACTGGAGACAGCGATGACCGGTTTGGCGCCTCCACCCGAGTCCAAGTCGATCGACTTCGAGGACATCAGCATCGAGGACATCGAGACCGTGACACCGAGAATCGTGTTCGAGGACAAGTCCGACGTATACGCGTTAAAGAGGCAATTAGAACCGCGACCGACTCGAAATCCGGGCGACGAGTATCTCGCGTACGTTTTCGCAGGCAGTCGAGACTGGTACCCGACCCGATCGTCAAACGACCCGCCGACGCCACGAGTCCCACGTTCGCCACGATTTTCGTTCGAGTGAAGCAGCAGCCGAAACGCTTCGAGAGGGGAGATGGAACGTACGAGGCGTTGGACAAGGACGCGTCGTCGATCGACAGGTTCTACGCTTCTCGCAAGATCGCTCGCATCCTCTACTATTCCAGCTTCGATCTGCTCACGCTGAAGATACTGGCCAGACTGGCGATAGGCGATCCGTTGCAGAGGAAACCGTCGAAAGAGTTGTTCGGCGAGGCGTTGAACCTGTTCGAGCGAGACGCGAAACGTGGCGCGACCCTGAAAGCGGCGGTCGTTCGACGGCTGGTGACCGAGGAAGAATTCGCGGAGCTGGAATCGCTGCGCGCCGCTGTGGACGCCGACGCGGACGCCGGGGACGCCGAGGACGCCGAGGACGCCGAGGACGAGGCGACGGGAGAGATCTCGTCCGACGACTATCGGATCGAGTTGGACTCGGGACCGCCTAAACCCGGCGAACCGAACTGGAATTGGATCGATTTCCCTTTGCCCGCCGTACTGTTGGAAAACTTGGCCAGGCTATGGGAGGGTTTGGAGAAGCTCTACGTAGAGGAGCTGAAGGAGTTGCTCTTCATCAAGAGTATTCACGCGTCGAGCATCGTTCCGTACACGGACTTCTTGAAGAGGAACGCGCGCGAGTTCGTGAAACGACCCGACAACAAGCAGGATCTGTTGCATCGATTTCATCGGGCGTTCAACGCGATCGACGAGGACGCGCGTAACGACGTGGACGTAAAGTGCGAGTTGCACCGTCGCGTGGCCGATTTCCAGATGGAACTCTGGCAGATTTGCGACGAGAGACGGCGCACGGCCGAGGAGGAACGGAAGCGATACGTGAACGACCATTGGACGACCTACGAGGCGGTCATCCTCTTCGATATCTACGTCGGTATAATTCAGGCGGAGTTAGATCGATGCGTCGACACGATATGCATGCTGCAAGATTACTATCTGGGAATGACGAAGAAGCCGCTGCGAGAGATCGGCGTTTCGAAGGTTATCCTGAACAAGATCACGCCGGATCGGACCATCGACGCGGACGACGACGTTCGCGACGGCGAGGAAGAGGACGAGGACGAGGACGAGGACGAGACCAAGATCGGCGAACGAGTGCCGAATCGCGACGACAAGACGACCGATCGAAAGAAGGGAGACCGAGCGAGATCGACGAAGGCCGACTCGACGAGCGTGTCCGTTTCTCCGCCGGCTGCCATCGATCGTGCTCTGCTTCAGAAGGAGATCAACGACGCGTTCACCGACAGGAGCAAAGTTATCGAGAATATCCGAGACGTTTACCTGTTCAAAGGCGTCATGGAGAACGTCGATTACGCGAAGAACCTCGTGGAAGCGTTGTTCGCTGCGAGCGTGGAACAGATCGAACGGGAACAGATGGCGATTTCCAAGGGCAAAGACTTGGCCACCGATTCCAACGAGTCGATCGTTGCGAAACTGGCGTCGAGAGGACAAGATCTGGTGTTGGAGTGGCGATACGCGATCACCTACGAGATCGAGCGGATTCGTCTGAAGCTCGAGTCCATAGCGAACGTGGCACGGTTGGACATTGCTTTCCTGCTGGAAACGTTGCAGGGAGCCTTTCACGGCATTTACGATTCCATCGTAGACAGGTTGATCTCGTTTTGTCGTTTAATCCATCGAGAATCTTTCGTTCCTTAACCGTATCGACGAACGCGTAGGTATTGGCAAGAGATGAAGAGCGTGAACGAAATGGCGAACGTTTTCTGCTTGGCGATCGAAGAGGGTAGAAGACTGGAGAACGAGATCCTGCTGGACGGTGACCGGTTCGTGATTCGATCGAACGTGTACGTGGTGACGAGAGAGACGGGAGAGCCGACGCGCCACAAGGAAACTCCGTCGCCCCTGCGATTCCGAATATCCAACCTCGTCCATTTGATGGAGATATTCAAACGCGTGGCGCCCTACGGAACGATGGCCGAACGCACCTTCGTTTACATCCTGCAGGACTTGACGAGTCACGGCCAGGACGAGGGAGAACCGATGTTACTGCCGTGTTCGTGGTACCAGCTTAAGTCGACGGACATAGCGAAACTCGTGAAAAGACTCTACGGATCCACCGATTACGTCGATTGGCGAGAATTCCTCGTCCACGCGATGGACCTGCCGACTCCGAGCTACCGGCAGATACTGATCGCGAGGGATCGTTTTCGAATTCAGGATCCCGAGTTGAACGAAGTCGTGACCCTGTCGCGGTACCGTCGAACGTCGTTGTGGTTCCTCGAGTGTATAGAGAATTGCGACAACGCTCGACGGCTTCTCCTCGACGAGTTTCAAAGAGATCGAGAGGAGCTGTACGACGAGGAGCATTATCGGGTGGACACGGAGATAACCGCGTCGGTGCCCGAGAACCGACCCTCCACCGCCTTCAACGCGACGCCGTGTTGCACGAGTACGCAGGAAATACTCAGGCGGATATTGGCCAAAGAGTTGCTGTGTCGAATGTTCATGGTCGATCGATACTCGGTCAACTATACCGCGCTGTTGTTGGCTTTCTGCAAGGACGAGAATCCGCGGGACGGATTCGGGAAAGCTCTCGCGCTCGCCATAGGTAACCGCGTGTGTACCGACGCTGAAGAGGGCGAGAGATACGTCGAGGAACTCTTGGAACGGAAGAAACTCGCTCGACCGTCCTTCCAAACTCTCGATCGCGAGGCTCTCGAGGTACGAATCGTTTCCCGCGTTCCTAGTTTAGTTAGTCGGTTAATCGTTAACCAAAGACGATGCGTTTCAGGTGACAAGTATGGTCGTCGATCGGCTGATGCACCGAGTAGCGAGGAAGATCGATCGACGTGGGGATCGCGAGACGAAAGACGCGAGAGCGTTTAAGAGTTTCGACCAGCCGATGGCTTCGGAGAGCGTGGCGAAGGTGGAATCGCTGAGCGGTTGCGAGATCCAGGACGAGCAGCCGTCGATGGAGTGCACTGCCGAACGTTACGCGACCGATCCCGAAACGGTCGTCTATTGGATCTCTCGCGACATTTGCCTCGTAAGACACCACTATCGGGTGGTGTAGGAACTTTGTTCTCTTCTCGCTTCTAATCGTTCGATCTTTCGCCGTTTCAGACCGTGCTGGCCGCGGCATTGTCGTGGGACACGTTCAGCGAAGGCAGGGGTTGCGAGACTCTCGTCGAGAGTTTGTCCTCGGTGTACCGAGAATTATGGGACCCGAATCTGAACGCGGAGCAGGACGTGGTACTGGCGCATCGCCTGCTGAATCACGACTTCGTGACACGGCTGTTGAACAGAGTCAGCAAGTTTACCGTGAAGAACCTAGACGGCATAGTCGTGGAGATTTTACGGGCGAGGGAAAAGGAGCAAGATCTGGCTGATACGTTTCCGTGAAAGAAAAAAGGAACAGCGAGTGAACGAAACGCGCGAGATTTAGGAGGACAAGCTTTAACGGGATTTATTGTTTCGATACATCACGAGCAGTAACTTGTGAAAAATTCTAATCTTCGAAATTTGAATTGCGAAAACGTCGCGTATCGCGTACACGAGGACCGCGTCGCATGTTTTTCGCGCCAAATCCGTTTCGCCGTATCGCTCGAGACGAGACTCGGCCAGCTTTTCGTAGTAATATCGGCGAAACGGTCCTCGTGTGCGTGTTCATCCGCGAATATCTCGGCACCTTAATACCTTAATGTCATAATACCTCGGTACAAGCGACGGATTACAATAATCGTACGTACATTACACACCGCGTTTGTAAATCGATTACTCTCGCATAAATACTTATGTTCTGCTTACGCTACTGCCTTCGTTTCAATCGTCGTACCTTTTACCTTTTACGGAATGCGCGCAAATCAAATACGGATCGAACGTTTAAACAATAAACTTCATATTTCTCCAGAAGACTACGAAAATATCGATTTTCTTACGACATCTCGTAAAAGCGGCCGCTCTAGACGCGCGTGCACGTAACGTTACAACGGAGATTTGTTTCGAAGGAACAACGATCGAAACAAAAATGAAAATAGTAATAGATAGCAGCAGCAGCGGCAGCACCAGCTGTAGTAATTATAGCGATAGTAGCAGTAGTAGTAGTAGCAGTAGTAGTAGTAGAATAGAGTAGTAGTAGCAGCAGTAGTGGTGGTGGTAGTAGTAGTAGTAATAGTAGAAATAGTAGTAGTGGTAGTAGCAGCAATAGTAATAGTAGTAATAGTATTTGTAGTACGATAATAATAAGAATAATGGTATTAACGATAAAAATAACGACAGTAATAATTATAGTAATAATAATAATAATA